TTCACCCACTTTTCGGTTGTCCGTCCCCCAGGGAGGAGGTCACACACAGTTCCTTGTAATCGGTTCCCTCTTTCCTACCCATTCTCCCTTTACCGTCCCTTTTTCGCCACTTTTATAGATAATAGTTGATTTTATAATTTACTGCCATAAAATGTACACATATCTATTATAAACTCTCACTGCCATCTAGACAATTCTAATTCATAACAACCCTACTGGACAGGGTAAAACTTCTTTTGTGTGTCTCTGAGACTGTAATTCTTACTAGAATATAAAGCCCCATCTTTATAACTTTGTGGATAGCAGCCCAATGGCTCTCCCCGTAATCATCTATGCTTAAAAACTTGCTATAGATTATTCCACTCTATAGATTTAGCTTGCCTGGATTTCATATACAGAAAATCATTCAAAACACAAAGAGGAAGCAAACAACAAAATGAAAGCAACAACAATGAAAAGATAAAACCAAGAAAAACTCAATAGAAAATAAGCAAAAAAATATTAAAATCTGAAACAACTTGGATCAAAAGAGAGATGTAGTGATATGGTGTTACATTTTAGCCTAGCTACATCTTCCATAATAGATTTTATAAGGCTCTCTATTTGAAAGCAAGATTATTCAAATCCATGGATTCTGGTCAGAGGGGATTCATCAGAGACTTAATCAATGTGGGGGTCCTGAAAATGGATTTTGGGCTTCCACTGTCACCCATAGCCTTCTGAAAACTAAGTGCTCACAATTTAAGCTCTGCTACCATTCTTTCCTTCTATTTGTATTGTATGGTTTACAGTCCTTGATCACATGCACTGGTGTGCTCCTTCTCTGAACTTCGTTTACACCTCACTCATGTAGCTGCTTGTGTTAAGACAGGCCTTTAAGACCCCAGATACTGTTCTTTCTGACAGGTGGGATTTAGCTGGTTTCTGCACCATGCTTTGCTAGAGCACACATGACTTTGGTGATCATTTCATCAAGCAGGGCCGTGCCGTAAGATCTAAATGTTCTCAGATTAGGGATAGAACTACATGTAACCCCCCCAAATCTATTCATATAGCTATGGTTTATATATATCTCTGGTTCATTTTACAAACATCATTTTCCTTTTATGATAGGGGATGTTATCAATCATCCCCCTGGGGCATAGTGTAATTCTATTGATTATGTCCTTGATTTAGAAATGTCCTTTTTGACAATGAATGTCATGTCATTTCTTTTGATTGTGTTATTCCTGGCATAATTAATCACATGATTTTCTGATTCAAAACCACCCATCACAGTCCATTTGAGCCCACTCATGCCCAGTCTGTTGAGCTTTATGTGTTCAGTTCATGTTTGAGCATTTCGAGTTGTCCTAGGTTCATACTTCACACAGTCAGAGTTCTGACCATTAGCAGATTTTTGCAGCTGTTTCTCCCTACCTTGTGT